TAAAAATTAGTTTAAATTAGTGAAATTTGACCCCAAAGCTTTAGTTTAATAGATCTTTGGATATTACGATTTTGTTAAGAACATGTCAATATTTAGGGCTTACATGGGAAAGAACAATGAATTATTCCCTTTTTTTTTATGTTTGATTTAGTATGAATTTTATGGATTAAAGGACCCTACTGTAACTGTTTCACGGGTTACTATTCACAGATTATTGTTTACAAATACTGTTCTTGAATACTATTCATGCACTAATTACCATTCATGCAATGTACTTCAATTTGAAGTTCTATGGAATCTGTGAGTTGTGTATGTGGATATCAATATGAACTTGAATTGTCCATGCGACTGATTAATGGGAACATTAAATGGGACAATAGTTTAATATTATTTTGGACATGTTCTAAACTTGTTTCACATATGTATGTGCTTTTGGTTATGGAGAAAATGGACCTGAGCTTAAAGCTTGGGGTATTCAGTGAACCATTCGGGGTATTGAGTAGACCTCTACGCAGTAGGGTTAGTATTATGATTAGTTCCAGTACAGTACTGCTAGCACATATCAATGGACTCCATAGCATTGTGTGCTTTTCGGTTTTATGCATTGCACTTGTAACATCATATTTGTGAGCATATGCTTTTAGTATATAAATTTAATTTAAATGTCATTGATTATTCCTTGACATGTGTGATTATGATTAGAGATATTAAGTTATTATTTAAATAATGGGAATTATAATGTTATGCGATTTGGTTTCATTGTATCTTATGCTCTTTATGTGTATAGGTTTAGGGGTTTTAGGACCCAAGTTTATAGCTTAAACTTATTACTTACTAGGCTTTTAGCTCATAAAATTTTTCCTCATTTCAGATCAATAGATCAAGGTAATAGCCTCTCGGTTTGAGAGCTTTTGGCACGGGACTCGTATGATCGTTGTATGTACAAGCTAGGGCCTCGTGTTTTCGATAGGGAGGCAGATCGATGTGTTACCAAAACAATGACTAAGCTTTTGTTCTTTTGTAAAGCTTGGAAAAGAAATTTGCCTTATATAATTTTTGTGTAAATTACCTTTATGTACATAATCTTTAAATTGATTTAAAAGCAAGTTTTCTTTTAAAAAAACATTTTATATCAAAAGTGTTTTTACTTCTGTTACAATTCTTTACTATAAGTTTTATTTCAGAACTATTTTAGGATTGAAAGTACCTAAGGGAGGTGTGTCATAGGTTTTTGTATATATATATATACATGTACATAGCATGACTAAGAAAGAAAGGAGGAATTAGATGTCATGTGACTAGATGATGGATTTATATAACTCTTTTGTTTTGTTTTTTTATACGATGATTGTTGCTTTATGCTTTTTTGATATCATATTTAATCCCTTCTAGCTATAACTTCATACCCACTTTGATTATTTATTTCTCATCAATTATGTTTGTCTAACTGCTATGCTTTTTTGTTTTCCAATATTCTTGTAGATTGAAATTTGTTAATTTTGTGTTTGACATTATGTTTGTTAATAAATAGCAGGATGTGTCTTAAACCTTCTCCCAAAGTCCTCTTGAAGTTATTTCAAATTTAAGAATAAGTAATATTATTTCTAATACTTTTGATATAATTGTTCTCTTGACATTTTTCTTCTTTTAGGTGTTATACTTTTTAAACTTATTGTTATGATTTGATTTCTAGAAGTATTAATATATTGTTTGGCTTTAGAAGGCTTCTGTTTTCTAAGGCACATTATTTTAGTTTGTCTTTATTTTATAAATGAGTCTGGAGTACTTTTTCTACTCATTAATATAATTATATTTGCCTACCTAAAAAGAATTGAGATTAACTTTTATTATTGTTTTGACTATACAATGTTTTTGTGAATATAATTATTTACCTCTTGCGAATTCTCCTCATGATTTTGTCCAGTGTATTAAATGGTAACCAACTTCTTGTCCTCATGCCATATTAAAAGCTAATTTTCATGCAAAAATAGCCATCTAAACACAATCTCATCCAGTAAGTCAGAGCTACTATTTTGTTTTTTGTTTCTATATTTTCAATTGTATGTCTCTTAAGCTTCTAACATTTTTTTCTACACAATATTGTAACTAT